TGTTATACTCACCCCAAGATCTTTTTCCTTGAGTGAGGTTTGTAGTCTCTGACCCCCTAGACTGTACTCCGTTTGCGGCCTTCTTTGCCCTTCCCCAATCTTCATGACTTTGCACTTGGTGGGATTGAACTCCAGGAGCCAATTGCTGGACCAGTTCTGCAGCCTGTCCAGATCCCTTTGTAGTTCTGCCTGGTCTTCGATCGAGTGTATTCTTCTCATCAACTTCACGTCATCTGCAAACAGGGACACCTCAGAGTCTATTCCTTCCGTCATGTCGTTCACAAATACCAGAAACAGCACTGGTCCTAGGACTGACCCCTGCGGGACCCCGCTGGTCACAGGTGCCCACTCTGACACCTCGCCACGTACCATGACTCGCTGCTGTCTTCCTGACAAGTATTCCCTGATCCATTGTAGTGCCTTCCCTGTTATCCCTGCTTGGTCCTCCAGTTTTTGCACCAATCTCTTGTGTGGAACTGTGTCAAACGCCTTCTTGCAGTCCAAGAAAATGTGTGTGTGTGTGTGTGTGTGTGTGTGTGTGTGTGTACACTCACCTATTTGTGGTTGCAGGGGTCGAGTCTTAGCTCCGGGCCCCGCCTCTTCACCAGTTGCTACTGGGCCCTCTCTCTCCCCGCTCCATGAGCTTTATCAAACCTTGTCTTAAAACTGTGCATGGTTCCTGCCTCCACTACGTCATTTTCTAGGCTATTCCACTGCCTTACAACTCTATGACTGAAGAAATACTTCCTAATATCTCTCTGACTCATTTGTGTCTTCAACTTCCAATTGTGGCCTCTTGTTTCTGTGTCCCCTCCCTGGAACATCCTGTCTTTGTCCACCTTGTCTATTCCACGCAGTATTTTATATGTTGTTATCATGTCTCCCCTGACCCTCCTGTCCTCCAGTGTCGTCAGGCCGATTTTCCTTAATCTTTCTTCATAGGACATTCCCCTTAGCTCTGGAACTAACCTTGTGGCAAACCTTTGTACTTTCTCTAGTTTCTTGACGTGCTTTATCAAGTGCGGGTTCCAAACAGGTGCTGCGTACTCCAGTATGGGCCGACATACACGGTGTACAGTGTCTTGAATGATTCCTTACTAAGGTATCGGAATGCTGTTCTCAGGTTTGCCAGGCGCCCATATGCTGCAGCAGTTATCTGATTGATGTGTGCTTCCGGAGACATGCTCGGTGTTATACTGACCCCAAGATCTTTCTCCTTGAGTGAGGTTTGCAGTCTTTGGCCACCTAGCCTATACTCTGTCTGTGGTCTTCTGTGCCCTTCCCCTATCTTCATGACTTTGCATTTGGCAGGATTAAATTCGAGAAGCCATTTGCTGGACCAGGTGTCCAGTCTGTCCAGGTCTCTTTGAAGTCCTGCCTGGTCCTCATCAGATTTAATTCTCCTCATTAACTTCACATCATCTGCAAACAGGGACACTTCTGAGTGTGTGTGTGTGTGTACTCAGCTATTTGTGGTTGCAGGGGTCGAGCCCTTGTGTGTGTGTGGTGTGTGTTTGTTTTGCTTTGTGGGTGTGTGTGTGTTTGGTGTGTGTGTTTGTTTTGTTTTTTTGTGTGTGTGTGCGCACACGTGTGCACACACAAAAGATCACAGTCAAGAGGTAGTAAGGGGGACTTCTAAGAACTTTTGGGAAATTTCACATTAAGAAGGGGCGTATAAAATTTCAGACAGTAGAAGGCTTTTAAGGAGGATACCAGCCCTTTAAAATGTGATATTCAACCTTTTTAAACCTTTTTTCGGGTTTTTCTTTTTTTTACAGGTCTTATATTGTGGGGAAAACTTTAAAACCCTTGAAAGTTCACTATTTTTTTTTTTGGGGGGGTTTTTCTTTTATGTAACCGTAGTTAGGGGGTCCCCTTTACGGGTTTGGGTTTTTCTAATACGGAGTTTTTCCTTTAATTCAAAACTCTAAAGTTTAATTTTTTGGGTTAATAGGGACGCGCACCCTTTTGTTTTCAAAAAACCCCCAAAGGCTCCCCCAACTGGAAAAAACAAAAAATTTCAAGGTTTTGTTTTGTTTTAAATTTTTTTAGTCTGGTTTCTCCTTTGTTTTAAACCCTTTCCAAAAAATTTCCCCGTGTTGGGAAGGGACAATTTAAAAAATTAAAGTATATAATTTTTAGGGGGCCGGAAACCAAATCCTTGGCCCCCTTTCCCTGGTGTACAGGTCCCCCTTCCCTGGGCTCCCAATTTTGGGGGGATCAACTCGTCCCCCCCTTTTTAATTTTTAAGGTTTTTTGGTTTTCTTTTTTTCCTCCACTACATCGCTTGCCGCTAATTTTTTCCCAAGAAACTTGTGGCTGAAGAAATACTTCCTAACATCCCTTTGGAAATAGTGTTCAAATAGTCTTGGGAAAATGCATAATAATAATTTAAAATTTTAAAACTAATAAATGGGGCCACTAAGTTCAAATTTACGTTAAAAGAAGGGCATTTTCATTAATCCTCAAAGCATTTTTTAAAAATTTTATAAAAAAAAAAACACCCTAATAAACATATAATTTTTGATACTAACCCACAGCAGAAATTTCACTGGGCATAAAAATAAGTGTGGTTATAAAGGGGGCTTGTAGGGGGTGAGGCGAATTTAAAATTTTTTCAAGCCCAAAAACCCCGAAAAAAAATTTTACCCCTATAGTATTACTGGGGGTAACTGTAGAAAATTATTCCCTTCATATGCCTTCACTGATATCTATTTATTTATTCTACTGGACTAATGTGAAGACAACTTGTGGGTTTGTATTGTGGGGTAAATGCTTCGCAAACTGATGTCAATGTACGTGTTTGAACCAAAACTGGACAGGTATTAATAGCGTTTAGCCTGACATGGTGACTACGCCCAATTGTCTGACCTTTGCGTTAGCAAGTTTATTCAGGTACAGGTACACATACAGTTACCTAAATTATCATACATAGCAGCATATGTGTAGATTATCTAGGGCAGCCCAAAAGGGTCAAAAGTGACTATTTCCACTGGCATCTAATGGTAGTTGTTAGAAATTATTAAACTCGGTGAACAAGGTATGCCAATGGTAATAATAAATAATATAATAATTGCTGTGGGGGAGTTTTAAATTTAAGTCATATATTTCGTGCAGGTGTGTTATTGGTGCAGGTGTGTTAGGTGGTGAGCTACTACACCTGACACACCACAATAAATACTGTGGACCCCCGCTTAACGATCACCTCCCAATGCGACCAATTATGTAAGTGTATTTATGTAAGTGCGTTTGTACGTGTATGTTTGGGGGGCTGAAATGGACTAATCTACTTCACAATATTCCTTATGGGAACAAATTCGGTCAGTACTGGCACCTGAACGTACTTCTGGAATGAAAAAATATCGTTAACCGGGGGTCCACTGTACTCACCTCTCACCCTACTCGAAGACTACAAATATTTCAAAGCAATGAGTGTACTGTGTGTTTTTTACTTTTTATTGTTCTTTTTTTAATGCCTAGCGCTATTGCCAACTTAATATATGTTAGTGTAAACTTGCTATCTAGCATTTATAAATGGAAAAATGGCATTCTCCTTTACGGCAATTTCCACTTTATGGCAGTAGCCTAGAGTCTAACCTGTTGCATAAATAAATGAGTGCGCCCCTAACTGAATTATGTAAAGAAAGAGGCAATAATGGATAATAGTTATTTTGAGAACAAAGGATAAACGAGTATAGGAGATATGATATAGAGTGTAATAACAGAAGTTTATGGGACTATGTATGAGTAGATTAAAGATTAATGGGGAGATTTGTGGATGAGCACATCTTTAAGAGGATGACAGATGATGGATCATTTAGTGGTTGATACAGTGAGGGTAAGAGGTAGTGTAGACAAAGGTAGATAGTGAAAGTGGATGAAATGACGGAGGTGGGAAAAGATATAAGCAACTACTGTAATGGAGGTATACTAGAGTGTATGCAAGAAATGTGAAGTCAAGGAGGTACAAGGTAGATTTATAAATGCAGTGCTATAGAGGGCATCAATATTTTGTGGGTATTTGAAGGCGAGTGCAGAAGGGAACATAAATAATGTTTGTGGGACTGATGAGATCAAGAGCACAGTAAGGGAGAAAAAGTTAACGTATGAGAGATTTTTTACAATGTAAGAATGGTGTATGGAAGACAGTATAGGCAGTGTGAGAGAGAGATATTAAATAAGTAATAAGGGAGGGCAAAAGAAGAGCAATGTTAGAATGAGCAAGTTTCTAGCAGCAAATTTTGCTGAATATAAGACAAAGTTTGCAGAGAATTCAATAAGGTGAGGTAGTCTGGAAAGCAAATGAACTTAGCAGTTAAACCACAGTACAGGAGGGTTAGAACTCATGGCAACTGAGTCATAAAACTCCATGCCAGTGTTAACCACTGAGCAAGCTGGTTATAATAAGATCTATCCATAAGGTATATTTATACACCATAGGGAGGTTAACATGGGCCACCACTGTGCCCACATCTGGGTCACAATGGTGGCCCATGCTAACCTCCCTATGGTGTATAATTATACCTAGTTGGATGAATTTTATTGTAGCCAGCTGGCTCAGTGGTTAACACACTGGCCTGGAGTTTTACAACTCACTGGCCATGGGTTCTAACCCCACATGTACATGGTTTGTTTGCAAATGTGTTATTATGACTTCGAGAGTCAACTTAGCAGTTAAAAATGAACAAGATGTTACACAGGAAGATGGAGGTACTGGTCCAGGAAGGTACTGTATTATATACAGTGAGAAGGAACCTTAGGCAGATGTAATGCAACAGGACTCAGTGAGTAGAATGAGAGAGGGTAAAGCAGTTGGGAGGGCTGGAATTAAGACAGACATTTTAAAATCAGGTGGGGATATAGTTTTGGAATGGTTGGTGTGTATGTACAATACATTCATGAAGGAAGATGTGTTAAAAAAAGTATATATTCATTTATTTTTCTTGTGCATGTGAGCACATGCGCACGTGTGCGAGTGCGTGTGCGTGTGTGTGTGTTACCTTAGAGAGCCTGGGGGTCGAGCAAGGGAGAGGTCGAGTGTTTGATTGGTGTGCTGGGAGTCGTGTGAACTGCCTGGAGACACCAGCTGGGGTCCACTGTAGCAAGGTGATACCCCAGGTCCTGGGTAGTGAGGCGAGGTCACCATGGGACCCCCAGTACCCATGGGGCCCGAGAGGTCCATAACGTTCGCGGGGGACATAGGATTGGGTCCAAGAGCTGAGGTCTTGACGCTGAGGTTGATGGCTGAGCTATCGTAACGGTAGCCAGGGCTGAGGAAACAAAACCTCATTATAAACATTATTAAAACCCAACTGACTGTCCCCAACTATTTAATTTGAGTTCACAACTATATAGCTCTGAGGGAGGTAAAATTAGATTTATCATTATAGCTTTTATAAAAAGCTATGAGAATGTAGAGAGGTTTTCTACATATATTTAAATAGCATATCTATGTAGATCTTTAAGGATGGAGGATCAAGCCCCCAGTGCTCAATTTTGTATTACTGTGGTTAAAGATAGTATTTTTATACTCGATTCATATTCAATTTATTTTCTTCTCATAGGCATTGCCACAGTCACCTCAAAGATGAGCGGGACTGGATAAAGTTCACACTGAATAGGCTCGTTGGTTCTTTGTTCAATTTTATGAACTATCACATTCCATGGTTATTTTTAATATGTAATGTGCTAAATCTGTATCAGTCATTTAGTGTCAGTGTAAAAGTAGGTAGTAGGTTGGTAGATAACAACCACCCAGGGAGGTACTACCGTCCTGTGGTAGTAGGTTGGTAGATAACAACCACCCAGGGAGGTACTACCGTCCTGTGGTAGTAGGTTGGTAGATAACAACCACCCAGGGAGGTACTACCGTCCTGTGGTAGTAGGTTGGTAGATAACAACCACCCAGGGAGGTACTACCGTCCTGTGGTAGTAGGTTGGTAGATAGCAACCACCCAGGGAGGTACTACCGTCCTGTGGTAGTAGGTTGGTAGATAACAACCACCCAGGGAGGTACTACCATCCTGTGGTAGTAGGTTGGTAGATAACAACCACCCACAGAGGTACTACCATCCTGTGGTAGTAGGTTGGTAGACAACAACCACCCAGGGAGGTACTACCATCCTGTGGTAGTAGGTTGGAAGACAGCAACCACCCAGGGAGGTACTACTGTCCTGTGGTAGTAGGCTGGTAGACAACAACCACCCAGGGAGGTACTACCATCCTGTGGTAGTAGGTTGGTAGACAATAACCACCCAGGGAGGTACTATCGTCCTGTGGTAGTAGGTTGGTAGACAATAACCACCCAGGGAGGTACTATCGTCCTGTGGTAGTAGGTTGGTAGACAGCAACCACCCAGGGAGGTACTACCATCCTGTGGTAGTAGGTTGGTAGACAACAACCACCCAGGGAGGTACTACCATCCTGTGGTAGTAGGTTGGTAGACAACAACCACCCAGGGAGGTACTACCATCCTGTGGTAGTAGGTTGGTAGACAACAACCACCCAGGGAGGTACTACCATCCTGTGGTAGTAGGTTGGTAGACAGCAACCACCCAGGGAGGTACTACCGTCCTGTGGTAGTAGGTTGGTAGACAGCAACCACCCAGGGAGGTACTACCGTCCTGTGGTAGTAGGTTGGTAGACAGCAACCACCCAGGGAGGTACTACCGTCCTGTGGTAGTAGGTTGGTAGACAACAACCACCCAGGGAGGTACTACTGTCCTGTGGTAGTAGGTTGGTAGACAACAACCACCCAGGGAGGTACTACCATTCTGCCAAGTGAGTGTAAAACGAAAACCTGTAATTGTTTTACATGATGGTAGGATTGCTGGTGTCTTTTTTCTGTCTCATAAACATGCAAGATTTCAGGTACAGCTTGCTACTTCTACTTACATTTTTATTTTCTTACTAGTTCTTGTTCTTGTTTATTTCTTATCTCCATGGGGAAGTGGAACAGAATTCTTCCTCCATAAGCCATGCGTGTCATAAGAGGCGACTAAAATGCCGGGAGCAAGGGGTTAGTAACCCCTTCTCCTGTATACATTACTAAAGTTAAAAAGATAAACTTTTTTTTCTTTTTGGGCCACCCTGCTTCGGTGGCATACGGCCGGTTTGTTGAAAGAAGTAAAAGTATTATATTAAAAGCACTAAACCCATATGGGTCATACAATGATGCAGTGTGGTGAGGTGTAAGGGTAGTGTGTCAGATTAGTTTTCTTGTTAAAGTCAGAGAGTGTATGTTGGGGTGAGATTTCTGATAAATACATAGTTCAGTTGGAGACAGCACGTCAGGGAGTTGTACATGTCAAAACTGAATCCAGTGTGCTGTCTGATAGATAGGACAGTGTATTAAGATATGCCCAATATACTCTGTAAAACCAAATGTCTTCCATGTGAACTACTGATACTCCCTTTGTAAAGTTTTGTATCTAGTGGATATAAACTATTACAGTGGACCCCCAGTTATCGGCCAGTTTGGTTATCGGCCAACTCGGTTATTGGTGGGTTTTTCGGTGCCCGGTTATCAGCCATTTTGGACATGTCCATTCGCTGGCTGGGGCAGCTTGTGCTTCAGTTTGGCTTTGTTTCTCAGTGCCTGAGGAAGCTTCTGCACATACATCCAAACATTTTGCTTGTTTACCATTGTTTTTAGTGGTTTTTCTTGCAGTGCAACTGTGAAATAAGTAAAGATGGCTCCAAAGAAAGTTCTTAGTAAAGTTCCTGTGGTAAAGAAAGTGAGAAACACCATGGAATTTAAGCATGAAGTGATAGAAAGTTTGAGAGTGGTATGAAGGTGGTGGAACTTGCCAGGATGTACAGCAAGAATAAATCAACAATTACATCCATCCTGGCAAAGAAAGAACAAATCAAAGACGCTAATGTTGCAAAAGGAGTAACTTTTCTAACTAAACAAAGGCCACCAATAATGGAAGAGATGGAAAAGTTATTATTATTGTGGATTAAGGAAAAAGAATTAGTGGGAGACAGTGTTGTGGAGTCTACTATTTGTGAGAAGCAAAGCAGTTGCATGAGGATCTTGAAAAGAAAATGCCTGAAACAAGTGCTGCAGTTTGTGAATTTAGGGCCAGCAAAGGATGGTTTGACAGATTTAAGAAGCGTAGTGGCATACACAGTATTGTAAGGCATGGTGAGGCTGCAAGTTCTGACAAATGTGCAGCTGAAAAGTATGTTCACGAATTCCAGGACTCTGTAAAGGCTGAAGGATTCGAATCCCAACAAGTGTTCAAGTGTGACGAAACAGGCCTGTTTTGGAAGAAAATGCCAAACAGGACCTACATTACCCAGGAGGAAAAGGCACTGCCAGGACACAAGCCTATGAAAGACAGGCTTACTCTTTTGTTGTGTGGTAATGCTAGTGGTGATTGCAAAGTGAAGCCTTTACTCATGTATCACTCAGAAAATCCCAGAGTGTTCAAGAAAAACTATCATGAAGAATAGATTGTGTGTGATGTGGAAAGCTAATCATAAGGCATGGATCACAAGGCAAATTTTCGAAGAGTGGGTTAATGATGTGTTTGGCCCAAGTGTGAAAAAATACCTCCTGGAAAAGAAATTGCCACTCAAGTGCCTCCTGGTACTGGACAATGCTCCTGCTCATCCTCCAGACTTGCAAGACCAAGTGTTTAGGGGCTTCACTTTCATCACTGTGAAGTTCTTGCCTCCTAACACCACTCCTCTCCTCCAGCCCATGGACCAGCAGGTCATTTCTAACTTCAAAAAACTCTACACAAAAGCAGTGTTTCAAGAATGCTTTGAAATGACCTCGGACACTCAGTTAACCCTAAGACAGTTCTGGAGGAATCACTTCACTATCCTCCACTGCAAAAGCCTTATTGGTAAGGCTTGGGAGGGAGTGACTTCCTGGACTTTGAACTCTGCTTGGAGAAAACTGTGGCCAGATTGTGTCCTAGAGAGGGATTTTGAAGGGTTTGAGGCTCACCCTGACCCTGCCGACCCTGTGGACTGTGGAAGTCCCTGGGGTTGGAGGCAAGTGGCGAGGATGTGGAAGAGTTGGTGGAGGACCACAATGAAGAGCTAACCACTGAAGAGCTGCAAGTTACAACAGAATGCACAGTCACAATACAAGGCATAAGGCCCTTTTCAACATCCCTCAAGTAAAACTCTTATTATGCAAGAATGCTATGAACATAAAAGGCCCAAAGATCTGAAACTCACTACCAGAACAAGTCAAGGATTCCCAGACAACTTATAAATTTAGGACTCTGCTAAAAAATCATCTTTTTTTTTTTTTATTATCACACTGGCCGATTCCCACCAAGGCAGGGTGGCCCGAAAAAGAAAAACTTTCACCATCATTCACTCCATCACTGTCTTGCCAGAAGGGTGCTTTACACTACAGTTTTTAAACTGCAACATTAACACCCCTCCTTCAGAGTGCAGGCACTGTACTTCCCATCTCCAGGACTCAAGTCCGGCCTGCCGGTTTCCCTGAATCCCTTCATAAATGTTACTTTGCTCACACTCCAACAGCACGTCAAGTATTAAAAACCATTTGTCTCCATTCACTCCTATCAAACACGCTCACGCATGCCTGCTGGAAGTCCAAGCCCCTCGCACACAAAACCTCCTTTACCCCCTCCCTCCAACCCTTCCTAGGCCGACCCCTACCCCGCCTTCCTTCCACTACAGACTGATACACTCTTGAAGTTATTCTGTTTCGCTCCATTCTCTCTACATGTCCGAACCACCTCAACAACCCTTCCTCAGCCCTCTGGACAACAGTTTTGGTAATCCCGCACCTCCTCCTAACTTCCAAACTACAAATTCTCTGCATTATATTCACACCACACATTGCCCTCAGACATGACATCTCCACTGCCTCCAGCCTTCTCCTCGCTGCAACATTCATCACCCATGCTTCACACCCATATAAGAGCGTTGGTAAAACTATACTCTCATACATTCCCCTCTTTGCCTCCAAGGACAAAGTTCTCTGTCTCCACAGACTCCTAAGTGCACCACTCACTCTTTTTCCCTCATCAATTCTATGATTCACCTCATCTTTCATAGACCCATCCGCTGACACGTCCACTCCCAAATATCTGAATACGTTCACCTCCTCCATACTCTCTCCCTCCAATCTGATATTCAATCATTCATCACCTAATCTTTTTGTTATCCTCATAACCTTACTCTTTCCTGTATTCACCTTTAATTTTCTTCTTTTGCACACCCTACCAAATTCATCCACCAATCTCTGCAGCTTCTCTTCAGAATCTCCCAAGAG